GACAGTATAAATATATTAGAAACAATAAACAATGTAGAAAATAGACAAATATATGTTATCAAAGTAGAATATTGAACCTAGTACTGTTTACTAATAGAATGCTTGCTAATTAAAAATAGAGATAAATGGAATAAAGGTGAAAGAAAGAAAAAAATATGAGAAATTTACTAGTTAACATATGGAATTTGATTGAAATGAATTATGAGGATTATTATAAAAAGATTATAAGGTGAAAGAGGTATGAAAATATATTCAAGGATTTACAAAATAGAAATGAAATTTGAGAATGGTTGTAATGAAATCAATATCAGTTTCTAGGATGAAGTTGAATAAATTATTTTTTTCTTTCTTTTCTTTGGAACTTAAAGTGTATTGGAGGTAATTTAAGGGGAAAGTACCATGCAGAATCTGACTGAAAAGTGATATAGATTATAATATAGCTATTTGGATTTGAATGTTATAAACGCTTAAGGGGACAATTTAAAAAATTGAATGTTTAACGGGATTTGAAAGAGAACTAATTACAAGATATGAGGGGAACACACTCTAATTGGCAACTATAGAGGAAATGAGGAGGAAATGAGGAGGAAATGAGGAGGGGGAAACGAGGAATTTTTTTGGAAATGATGAAATTAAAATATGTGATGAAATTGTAAACAGGACAGATGAAAATATAAATATTATGAAAATATGAAAATCTTGTAAGAGAAAGGAAGTAGAGTAAAAAGTGAATGGGAAAGCTATAAAATAAGCCTGAGGGGAGTATTTGAGAAAAATTAATAGAGAATATACAAAGTATTGGTAAGATACGAAATCAAATATGAAAGATGAATATGTAATTGAGATTATATCTGTATGGAGATGTGAAAACTGGAACTATGCTGTTCACTAAAAAAAGATACTTTACTTTTGTTTTGTGAAAACTCAAATAAAATTTTATTAAAAAAAAAAAAGACTTGTGGACTTCAACTCCCAGAATTCTCCATGCAGCATAGCTGGCTGAGGAATTCTGGGAGTTGAAGTCCACAAGTCTTAAAGTCGCCAAGTTTGAGGACCCTTAGAATAGAATATAGTACAATACAAATAGAATGTCTTATGAAAATAGCAACAAGAAGTGGGCTACTTATCTTTTTAAAGGATTATTAGGTAAGAAAGCTTTTGCCTCTTGTCAACCATCTTACAAATTTATATGAGCTTTTTAGAAATTCCTGATACAAAATAAAAATCCTATTTGCCTTATTTCAGCAATTTATTACCTTCTAAATGTGGAGAACAGAAAACATGTTCTCAGTAAATGTATTTTATGGATTATTTTGCATAATAGCTATAAATTAAATGATTTATCTCCGGGTAGTCTACTCTCACCTAATATATTAACTTTTTCCTTTGGAATGAGCTGATCTGAACATTCTAATCTTACATTTCTGAACATGTGTCTTTCAAAACAGGAGGTGGTTATGGAAATAGCCAAACTACACCTAGGATGCTTGGATTGGTCCATTTGGGAGAAAACAAAATATTTTCAAAATAAAACCCATTGTTTTTGTGCATATCTGATGTACATTTTTAAATTCAAGTCAAATTCTTATGCCACAGTTTTATTTGCATTTTATAGAGAACTGTCCTTCAAAAATATGAGTTTATTTCAAATGATACTGTCTTCAAGTTCTGGTTTATATTTCTGAAGTCCAGGGCAGGGTCAGCCATATATTTTCCAGTATTATGCTTTTTTGTCAATCTCATATTTTGTCAATATTTAATAACCAAAATCAAGAGTGGTGTGATAACCTAGTCGTGAAGATGCTCATCTCCTACTTGGAAGGTTGAGAGTTCAATGCTAGGTATCAGTAAGTGTTTCTCTTCTAGGACATAAAGAAACTCTGCTGTGAACTCTGTGTGACATCATAAAGAGCATCCATCTATTAAATGCTCAGCTCCATCTATTCACCCCAACTCTTCCCCAAATTAAGGCATTATAGGGTCGTAAAAAGAGAGCTAAATACACATTTTTTTCTACTATATAGAAAAGAATTATTTTGAAATATTTATTAAAGTATATTTGATATATTGTCTGTCTTGGTAACTACTGCATTTTTTTTGTTCTAAGATGTGTACAATCTCTGCATTGACAACTGCATTAATGAAATCGAAACTGAAAATGGAGATGGACTGTTGAGGGCAAAATCTTGAAAGTACACTGATATATTTAAAAATGGGTTGAAAAGCACAACTATATAAGTAATTTAAAGACTATGAGATGTATTTTAAATCCTGTAATCAACGGATATTACAACCTTTTGTTCAGTTAAGAATAACCTGATTAATGAGGTTTTTTTAATCTAGCACAGTGCTTTTAAAGTAGGCCTTATTGAAATCCTTTCAATTTCAAAATGAATTCTACAAAACTTTAAATTGTTCCTTGATGTATGTAGATTGAATACATGCTGGTGACTCTCGTGTTATCTGCTTCTGTATTACTATTGTGTCTCCTCATAATCATCTATTTAAATAGTCAGATAAATAGATCTTCTTGAGACAACTTTGGAAAAGTCTTTGTGCATCTTTAATAGAGGCTGACTTTTGACTGTATAACAAGCTTTTCTACAATTGATAATCTCTTTTATTTATTTTTGTTTATCTTTAACCTTGAAATAATTACATGGAGCTACCGAGCACAGATTGTTTTCCTTGTCTTATTACTTTGTCTCTCTCTGTGTTTGGTATTCAGAGGTACTGAATTAGTTTCAAGGCCATTCACTCCCTAGAAGAAGGAAAAATAATAGTTTAGTTTTGGCTCTTTTCCTCAGATTAAGGGATGATTCTAAGGATTTTCTGGCTATTTAAACTTTTTTGGTTGCATTCTTCAGCACAAGACATACATATATGGAAGGTTTAGATCAGGGGTGTTAAACTCGTGTCATAACGGCAATGTCTGTGATGTATCAGGACTTTTCCCCCTTTTGCTAAACTGGGCAGGGGTGGGGCCTGCACATCATGCATCTGGCCCATGGGCCTTGAGTTTGACACCCCTGATTTAGATCCGCCTCTCTGTAGCATATATAAGAAACGGATTTTGTCAGAATTTCCACCATTAAAACATCACAAGGTAATTATTCACATGCTACAGCAAAAGCATATAAGAAATGAAAACGAATGGTTGAAGTACATAGATGGCCACTGGCAAAGCTTACGTTGGTATCATGTGGAAATACATGTGGAGAGATATGTGTTGATAAGCCTTTATAAATTCTACAGATTTTGCAGCATCAAGTAGTAGACTGAAATGGTCAAATTCTGCAATGTACTACTTATTACTGCCCAATATCCTCCTTTTCCTCCTCCTCCCCACTTGTGGTAAACTAGTCTGGTATTCAACAGTATTCTCCTATCATGTTTCTAGAACTTTTATATCTATGTATGCAAAGCTGAGATGCAACATCTTTGTTACTTTTTATATAGCTGAAGAGAGAGGTAAAATATCCTTTCATTTTTGCCATTGTTCTCTGATTCTTCGATATTGCTCAGTTAAAACTATGACTTGTTTAAATCTGCTGATCATTAATACCAAGGTATATTAATACTGGCAGAAATTTATTTCTTATCTAGATAAGAGGTGCACATTCTGAGCTCAGGTGCAAAATTTGAATTTGAATGAATTTTTAATTTTATTCAAATGTTAACAAATTTGTTAACTCTACAAATGAAAAATCAGAAAAAAAGATTCCTGACATAAGTCTTGCAAGAGTTTCTAGAGTAATGATTTTGAGTCTTTTGAAGACATTAATCATCTTTGGAACAACACCTTCTTGAAGCATATGGGTAGATCAAAACTGTAATACTCTGAATCATTCTCTGGTTGTACCAGATTAGTAATATTGGTAGCTTACTTCCTGTCAGTATCTTCCAGCATAACATTTCCTATAGCTATATCTGCTACAGCAGAAAATATTTTATTTTCTGATGGGTTGAAGCAGTGGTATTGCCCCCTTTTATCTATGAAGGAAAAATAAATTGGAAAACATTTATTAAAGCTGTATTTTATTACATTCCTGAATTTTTTTCGGTCACTGATTGCCACAAAGTCTATGGAATCATTCTGTTCGAATCAGGAAAGATAGTATATAAGCTAAGATTAAGGCCTAAGAGCATATTCCTGGGTCCATCTTTGTTAGAGGAACTAGAGTAACTGTAGTGGAGTTGTGGCAACATTTGGTGGACAAGAACTACACTCGGCATGGATGGAGTCATATATATGGGTGGTGTAGAGATTTCAGGAAAAGATTGAAAAGGCCTTGATTCCCCCAAATGCTTCTCCCATGTAATATCATATTATTTAATCAGCACATTTGGTAGACACTTAAACAGTGGCAAAACTAGTTAAAATGACTTTGCGTTTTTATAAAACCATCAAAGTTTGCAAAGATGAAAGACATAGATAATTAGGTGACCTGTTCTGCATGGTGACTAAGAATTCCTATCTTCAATTCTAGTTGGTTTGCTAATTTCAACTTTTCCTGTCCACAATATTACTTGTAATAGCCACCATTCATCCAAATTACTGTGGTAAGATTTTTGTGGAGATGTCCTGCAATTATCCACTTAGCATACAGATGGAAGAGTAATGCTATAGTACACCTATTTCTACAGTCTTCATTGATTGCTTATTTGTTTTTATACTATTGATCTCATCTTTGTTTTCATCCTTTTCAACTTATGCATGCTGTTCTTTCTCTACTACAAAATTTAAGAAGACTTGTGGTATAAACTGGAATGTTGGAATAATTTGAAATCAGATTAATCAGATCTTAATATTGTGATGGCCATGAAACAGCTTTCACATAATTTATTATCTGGAATCTTTCCAGTGCTTGCACCCTACTGGGTCCTTATAATTTTGGACTTTAGGGCAGAAAATTGATCATTGATCTGACAGCCTTTTCTAATTAATTGTTTCAGGTGGATTCTCTTTCTGATTCATTAATGAATGCCATTTATTACAGGATGATGTGATGATGCCCCAGAGAATAAGGCTGCAATGGGAAGCTAATATTAAGTATCCAAGGAGTGTGAGTATTTTCATTTTGTTGTTAGTAAAATGTGTAATGAGTTGTAACATAAAAGTTTGGAAATCTCTAACGTTGTATTGGAATGTAGTTGTAAGTGACAGAAGTCCCTATTGCCATTGTCAAGCAAGAAGTACTTGTAGTAATAGTGTACAAATTGTACCTGGTGAATGCATGGCTGAAATACTTCAGGTTTGAAGTACGCTTCAATATAGTAAAATTAACTGGAACTTTACCCTAGAGTAAACTGGATGTAGAAAAAGAAAACAATAACAGTTCAGATTTAAGATTGTTACAGATTGTAATAGAGCAACATGTGATATAGCTGTAAAAAGTTTTACTGCTCTGAGGGCTCTAGTGGATTACTTAAATAACTGGAGGGTTGATGACATTCAAACTGCCAAATTTTTAAATGATAGAATCCTTAAATTAAAATAGAACAATTATCAGAATTGCAGTGCTAAAAACAGATAAATGAATTTAGATGAAATTATAACCATTTTGGTTTGGGTAGATGTTATTCTGCATGTGTGTGTATTTAATTTTAAAACACACACTGCAAAGTCAGGTGTTCTTAGTACACTTGTAAGTTCATTAATATTGTTTACTTAGGTTGAGAAGTTTGGGCATTCTTGTGATAGGGAAGTAAAAGCAGGATAAGGAAAAAATAAAACAAACCTTTTTTTGTGAAAGAGTACATTGTGGTCCCACTCAGATATGTATGGCAGGTTGCAGAAACGTAAAACTTTTTACAGTTATCCCAGAGAAAATTTGACAAAATAACTGCTAAAACATGTAGCCACTACAGATGGATTCCTTTTAATAAGCAGTATCATAATAGGCCATCTAAAACTTAATTATTTTACTACTAATCTCATTCTGCTGCAGCTTTCAGGCAGTTATTTTTTATTTTTTATTTTTATTTATTTGATTTGTCAATCGCTTACAAGATAATAGGTATAAGTATAAACATGAGTAAGAATACAGGAAATAGGTACAAATAAATGGGGACAATAGGACAGGGACGGGAGGCACGATGGTGCACTTATGCATGCCTATTAGGAATTGGGTGAGGTCAATAGTGGATAGTTTGAGGCTGAAGGAGTGGGGGTTTGAGGATGTAACAGCAGAGTCAGGTAGTGCATTCCAGGCATTGACCACTCTGTTGCTGAAATCATACTTTCTGCAATTAAGTTTGGAGCGGTTAACATTGAGTTTGTATCTGTTGTGTGCTCTTGTATTGTTGCAGTTGAAGCTGAAGTAGTCATTGACTGGTAGGACATTGTAGCAGATAATTTTGTGTACTACACTTAAGTCCAACCATAGGCAGTGTAGTTCAAGATTGTTCAAGCCCAAAATTTCAAGCCTGGTGATATAGAATACTCTGTTGCGAGCAGAGGAATGTAGTACTCTTCTCGTGAAATACTTCTGGACTTGCTCAATTGTATTAATGTCTGATATACAGTGCGGATTTCAGACAGATGAGCTGTATTGGAGTATTGGTCTAGCAAAGGTTTTGAATGCCCTAGTTAGCAATTCAATATTTCCAGAGGAGAAGCTTCGTAAGATTACATTTACAACTCTTAATGCCTTTTTGGCAATGCTGTTACAGTGAGCTCTAGTGCTTAGATCATTGGATATGAGTACTCCGAGATCCCTGACAGAGTGAGGGTCATCAACGAGGTCATATCCGCCTAGTTTGTATTTGGTGAATTGATTTTTTTTACCAATGTGTAGGACAGAGCATTTGTTGGTCGAGATTTGGAGTTACCAAATGTTTGACTATTCAGACATTTAATCAAGGTCACTTTGAAAAACAGTAGCATTGTTGTTGGTGTTGAATAGCTTTACATCATCCGCGAAGATGATGGAGTTGCTAATGAGGTGATCGCAAAGGTCATTTATATAGAGTATAAAGAGTGTGGGTCCTAAAACTCTGCCTTGGAGGACACCACTGTTGACTGGAGCAGGGTTTGATATAGCACTCCCTATTTTTACTATTCGTTGCCTGTTTGACAGGAATGCAGTAATCCACTTATGAAGGGATCCGGAAATGCTGTAAGAGTTTAGTTTTAACAGTAGTTTCTCATTTACTACTGAATCAAAGGCTTTGCAGAAGTCTATGTAAATTGCATCTATTGCTTTACCCTGGTCAAGTAGAATAGTCCATATGTTTTTGCAGTGTAGGAGTTGTAGGTTGCAGGACATTTTTTTCCTGAAACCAAATTGTTTTGGGAGAGTAGGTTGTTTGACTCTAAGACGAGGGTGATGAATTGGTTAATGATTGATTCCATGACTTTGTATGTGATACAACACAGTGAGATTGGTCTGTAGTTTTCAACCAGGCTGGGGTCACCTTTTTTGAAGATAGGGATGACCATAGCTAAGGACCATAGGTTCGGTAAGGAGCTTGTTTTGAATGATATATCATATATAATGCTTAGGGGTTTTGCTATGGCAAAGGAGAGCTTTTTTAAGAAATATGCACAACATAATCCATTGGGGCCAATAGATAGGGATGGCTTTAGGTTTCATAGTGCCTTTTCTACATTATCTTCTGTAAAGTCAATATGTAGTGATCATTGCATTTAGTTGTGGAATGACTAGGAAATGTGGGGCATGAGCCATTGCTGTTTACAAAGACTGAACTGAAGAATGTGCTGAAGAGGTTGGCCTTAACAGCTTTGTCTCTGCAGTCTTTCCCATTTGGTCCCTTTAGAGGTGGGATGGTTCTTGAGTCTTTTAAGTTTGGAGTTTACAAAATTGTAGAAGGCGCGGGTAGATTTTGTACGTAGGAGGTTTTCCTCCTGCTTACAGTAATTATTTGTGCATTCTGCCTTTATCTGTTGGCATAAGGTGTTGTATCGGTTTTTAAAGTTTGCTACATAGCTAGTTTTGTTTTTATGCCATAGTGATTTTTTTTAATTAAAGTTTCCTTATTGTTATGGGTAATTTGTTTTTGTTTTTTTTAGGGGTTACTAATGGTACATATAGTTTAATGACTCTTTCAAGTTCAAGTAAGAATGCATTATAATGATCTTCTGTAGTATTACAGTTAGAGAACAGAAAGTGCCAATCAAGAGATGACAGATCAGCATCTATGAGGTAATAGTTGGCTTTTTTGAAATTGTATTTTGGAGATTCATCATTGTGATCTTCTTTGTGAGGGCGTAAAATGAGACAAAAGTCAATCATACTGTGGTCATTGTTTGAAAAAGGTTCTTGTATTTTAGATTAGATTAGATTAGATAAATTTATTGTCCTTGTACTCACAAACCTGAGAACAACGAAATAAGGTGCTCTTTCACAACATACAACTGAACAACACCAAAAGACATATACAAATAACAATGTAAAACAAATTAAAACAAATAACAGTTAAAAACTGTACAACCAGGATATATATATGTTAAGACCACCAGATTCATAACTCTGCATTTAACCTGATCACAGCACTTGGGTAAAAGCTACGTTTAAATCTACTTGTCCTGGCTTTCAGCACTCTATATCTTTATTTGTAGGCTATAAATTGAGTTTGAGTTGTTGTTTAATTTGTTTAAGTTGCAAGTATGCAAAGTTGTCTTTTGAAGTGAATGAGCTTTCTTACAAAGATGTAGGAATAGATTTGTGATGTGAGAAAATATTTTATTGTGATCACTTCTCATTTTCAATTTCATACATTCACAATATATTCTGACTAAAAATGTTTGGCACTTGTTTTCCACATGTGTCATATCATTTGAAAAAGAAAGGTAGCAAAATAAAAAGTATTTGGGGAGGCTGAAAGAGGATAAGGTCAGATGAATAATGTTCTTTTTCTTTGAACCAGAATGAAAACAAAAGAAACAAACTGTTAGAGTGTAATTTTTAGACCTTAATTTGTATCACAACATTGTCATGCCTAACTTGGCAGGCATCATATTCAAAGAAATCCAGCATTGACTGTTCTAAAAGGAGTTGAATGTGTGTATATGAGCTCATATTTTGCCAGGTCTCATTTCACTTGTCTGAACATGTTGCATAGTAGGCAGATGATAGAAAAAGATGGAATTGAACAAATACGTGGTTTGCTTATGTCTTGCAGGTATCCACAATTGTGGCAGTTGCTATATTAGTTTGTGCATGCTTGACCTGGAGAGACAGTCCTTTGTATGCATTTGCTTTCTTCTAAGAAGTATTGTGTTTGTCGTTGCCCTGTTTGTTGCCCAATTCTCAGTGCTATCCGCTTTTAGATAACAAGGGTGGTATGGGCATATATGCAATGAAAGTATGTTTCCATCTTGACTTGTTTGGATTGTAAAACAAAAAGGCATTCCTACAATTTTCCTATCATTGTTTCTTATCTGGCAAATCCAAAGAATTGTCAAATTTAGTTTCTTCATTTGGAGGCAACATTACAGTGGCCTCAAAATCAATTAAAAGTTTTACAGTAAAGCTTTGTTTTATGTGCAATGTTATATGGTAAGCAAAAACATTTTTCTTTTGATGTCTGTTTTTGTTACCTTCTTTATTTGCTTTGTTTCCATAGTGGATAATGAAGGATGAGTAAGTTGCCTTATAGACAAACAGCTATCTTAGTGCTATTAATGAAGTAGACATGTACCATCTTGTTCAAGTTTCAGGAGATAGTTTCATCTTCTGCAGCCTGAGAATGTGAGCAAGATGCTTATAATGGTTTATTCTTGATCCAAGTTAATTTAGGTTATCTGCAGGGTCTTGGCTCTCTGGGTCTAAGGAGTGGTCAAGACATCATTATATCACAGAGTGGTTTTCGCTATTAAAGGTAGCATTAGTATACTCCCAGGAAGGGGATATTCCAGAATTCAAAAGCTTGTGATTATGGTGAATATCTGACTTTTGTGAGGTAAATGAGAAGATCACAACAATCCAACCATAGATATTCTGCGACATACCAGTTTTCTTAAAAATATCTCAGTCTTGCTTCTAGCCTTATTAATTGTCTTGATTGTTCTGATGGATAACCTGTTTGGAGAGAATCTATT